GAATCTTCTGGCAGGTGAAGAGTTCCTCAATAGCCAGTGTTCAAGCCCAGTTCATCACTCATTAGTTCTGCTTGCTCTTGGCTTTTGTGGCTTTGGTGTCCAGCATGCTCTGGGCATGAGCCAGTTGCTTTATAGAATCAAGCACGAGGATTCCGGGCAGCACCAGCCACAGGGCGTTCAAGAAGACAAAGTAAAACCAGAAGTAGAGAGGGTGGCCCAGCTCCCCATGCTGGAATCCCTCACGGTGCTCTGTCAGGAAATATAGCACATCCCCGTATATCTGACCTGTGGGAGATAGAAGGGGGAGAAGGAAAGCCTGTAAGGAGGGGGAACAATTCCAAGCCATTTTCCAAGTCATCAGAGTTCAGGATTCCCAAATTCAGAGACCTAAGAGTTCTGCAATCATACGGCTAAGGATTTCAGAAAACAGAAAAGTGAGATTTCCAGAAATCAGAAGCTGAGACTTTCTGAACTCAGGAGAGTTCATATCTCTAGAGTTTAAGGAAGCTCAAAATCCTTTCATTCAAGACAGCTCAGGATTCCAGGACTAGAGAGAACTCACATTTCCAGAAAGTTAACAAAGTAAGAACGTAAGAGGACTGAATCTCAGATGAAGGAAACTCAGAATCTTGCTCCTGGAGGATCCGGGGGCCTCCCACCACCATGGGTCACCTCATGTAACCGTAACCTTCATGGGAGACTTTGTGATGGAGTGGGAGGAGAAATGAACCCTCCTTGCTTGAGAATGCAGGCCAAGAGGGGCATGGCTATTCCAGAACCTCAGGGAGTTTGTCATTCAGTCTGACTCAGCCCTGGATGGGCACATTGAGAGGTCCCACCTGCAGGGATGCCCCCATGTCTGTGGATCCCCCATCAAGCTCTCAAGCACCCAGTGTGGGCCCTCTCCTCACCCACAGAGACCACAAGCTGTAGGACAAAGCGGAGGGGCTGCTGGCGGAGAAAGGCGATCACCACCCATAGGCTGAGTGGTCCCCACAAGCAAGCTGTGATGGTCTCCATGCATATCATGAAGCTATCATTCCTGCAAGAGAAAGGATTGGGGGGCACTGGCATCACTGTGCTCTCCCCACAAGGCACCCCATTAGTGGTCCCTGACTCACCACCCCTCCAAAACACAGGTCTCCCTTGACAGAGGCAAACACTTACAGGATGTATCGGCTGTCTCCCTTGGCATA